TGGGGTTTGCCTTCTCAACTGCCCCCCCCATCCTTGCACATCAGTGTCCTAGAAAGAAAAGGTAGATTCTGTTCTCCAAGGGCAGCCAGGAACTTGCACATGGGACTAGGCAGGTTGGTGGGGGCTGCAGGGTGCCTGTGTGAGTCTGTCCCAGTTCTCTACTACCTCTGTGCACACCCCTGCCATGACATCCTTGGGCCCAGGACAAAGGGTCCCATGACTGTTGGTGGGTAGGGTTTCCAGGCTGAGCTGGGGAAGGGATCAGTTCCTCCCCACCTGGCCTTCCCTAATTCCTCCTCTCCAAGACCTGATCTCCACCCTTCACAGGTGACTTGTTAGGCAAGAGGCTGGGCTGCTCCCCCCACATCAGCAGTGACTGCTCTTCAGAAAAGCGGGCCCGAAGCAAGTCCCCCCAAGGTGGGAGCCTGCCCAGGGGTGGGAGACAGGTCCTTGGAGGAGGAGGCGGGTATAGTCCTTGAGTCCTGAGTTCTGGGGAGAGGGTTGTAAGAGGGGACCCTGCCTCTGCCTATTGGCAGTAACTTAAGAAGCACCCTCACTATGTGTTTCCCCAATGCAGAAACCCTGCTACTGCCAGAACTGGGGCCCAGCATGGCCCCTGAGGACCACTACCGGCGGCTCGTATCAGCCCTCAGTGAAGCCAGCACCTTTGAGGATCCTCAGCGTCTCTACCCAATGGGCCTCCCAAGTCACGGTGAGTGCCCTATATGACCCCTGTCCCCCAGATGTGCCCCTTCAGTCATCCCCTGTAAAAGCGTGAATGTCTGCTGCCATGGGAAGCAGGACTAGACATGCCTGTGGGACTCTAGCTGCACATCCCTGGGAGCCACCCACCCCAAGGCCAGCAGGCCCACACCTAACTCCTGCACAGGTGAGCCCAGGTGAGGAGAGGTGAGATTTGAAGCCATCTGTTCCCCTTTTTAGGAGCCCCGGAGGCCCTTTTAGGCTCCTTATTCCAACAGCAGTCAGGGCACAAGTATGTCAGTGGACACTAACCTGCGGTCACACTGAGATTGTACCAGTTCCTCCTAGACAGGGGCCACTAGGATTTGGCCACCGTGGTCTCACTGCTGCTCAGAAGCCCCAGATGAAGCACTGCCACTGCCTTCACCACCCAATAGGCCAGCTTCACCCTCTAGTCACCCCGAGAGAGAGAGACGCCATGTCTACTGCACTCTGCCTCACCCTCCCAGCTCTGCCATGGAAGCTTGGCTTTTCTGACCGGGCCACGAGCAGGGAGGGGGCAGGACTTCCTCTCCTTGTGCAAGGAACCGATCCCCAGGGCAGCTCAGGCACCGAGAGCCTGAATAATTCACCAAATGTTAATAATTTAAAAATCTTCCTTTTTAATTGCTTTCTGTGCCCTGCCGGGGCTGGCTCTGCTGGCCTGTGCGGGGGAGGGTCTCGGCCGCCGCAGGAGCCCGCTGTCAATCACCGAGTGCCACCCCAGCTGCGGAGCCCGCTCCAAATAGAGCTGGCTGGGGCCCCGAGGGGATCGACGCGGGCGGGCGGGCAGGCGGCGGGGCTGGAGCTGCGGGCTGGCAAAGGGCCCGGGGCAGGCCCACCTCCGCTTTTCGGATAATTAATTTATAAACAGAGGCTGCGGCGGCAGAGCGGCTGGAGAGGGGGAGTGCAGGGACTAGCGTGGCCATGCCTGTAGGCCTCGGGTGGCGATACTGGTGATGGCATCTACTTCGGTGGCCAAAAGCGACAAGTTCTTTCCAGCTGCGTCTGGGCATCAAGATCTCACATGTTTCTACTCTCATCCAGGAGTCAGGAGGCAGCCCCTAATTTGAGACCCACTCCCACTCCTGGGATCTTGTCAACGAACCTCCAGGAACAGGCCCAGAAGCCTTGTCCTGAGGGTCGCCTTGACCTATCTATAGCTGGGGGGCTCGCCGCATTCCAGGGTCTGTCATCTCCCTCGCCCTGTGGATGCTCCTGTTCTGGTTCCAGCCATCGTCAAGGCTGACTTAGCAGGGTTGTAGTGGGAGTGGCCGTGGCTCAGACGCTACCGGACCTCCAGGACAGGAAAATCCTAGGCAAGCTCTGCCTGAGTCACTGCCCACCTCCCTAGATCTCCTGAGGGTCCGGCAGGAGGTGGCAGCTGCAACATTAAGGAATCCCAGTGGTCTTGATGTCCACCTGCCCTCATCTGCAGTAGGTCCGCGCCGGAAGCAGGGCCTGGTACAACATCGCGAGGGTCCCACGCCAACTGCAGCTGTGTCCTTCTCCGAGAGGTACTAGGGTGGCAGTCACGCAGCCAGCAGTACGCCCCCCCCACACACCGTGCTCAACCTGTGGGTTTAGGGTCTGCTGCCAGGGGCCCAGGAAATCATTTCTAAGGTAGAATGTGAGGGTCACCACCGCCCCAGGCAAGAATACAAAAGGCCACTCTGGTTTCCTTGTTGAGCAACGGGGAGCCGCAGAGCCCAGGTGCCCCTAGGACAGCTGAGGCCCCCCCTCGGCGCGGGTGAGGTTGGGAAGCAGAAGGCGGAGGGGGTACCCCACCCGCAGGAAGTTGGCTGGGGACGGGGGCGGGGGGCGAGCCTGAGAAGCGACGCCGGAGCCATGGGCTCGCAGACGGCCTCCCGCGGGCCGCCCCAGCGCCCGGCCAGCTGCAGACGCCGAGCTCCGGAACGCTGCTAATTAAGCCGCTCGCCTGGATTGCTGGGGCCCGCAGGGGGTGGGGGAGCGAGCAGAGAGAGGTGGAGGGGTTGGCCCAGCTCGGTAATTACCGCTGCAGTCACAACCGCCCGCCGGGTCAGCGCCTCTGCGCCGCCGCCGAGATTAATTGGCGCCGCCGGCGGGGGCGGGGGCGGAGTGCGACCCGGAGCCCTGAGGAGCCGGCGCATCGACCGCCCGCGGGGCCAGCAATTAGCAGCAGGCGGAGTGGGGGTGTGCGGAGGGGATTACGGGAAGGTTGGGTGTGGAGGGGGCTGGGCCCCTGGCGCACCGCCCACGTCCTGCCGTCCACAGGGAACTGTCACAGCCGCCCCCCTTGCTGTCGCCCCAGAATGCCTCCCACATTGCCCTCGGCTCCCATCTCAGGCCCCCCTTTTTGGGGGTACCCTCGGCTCTGTGCCAGACCCCAGGTAAGAAGCTGACTATACATACGCTTTGGCGGGGTGGTAGGCATAGAGTGAGGCAGTTCCTGAGAGTGCCAAGGTTTACTGCCCACAGGATGCAGGGGGCCACTCTGGATGGCCTGCACCACTAGCCACCTTGCCCCGGTCTGTCCCCCTCCCCAGGCTATGGCTTCCTGCCCCCTGCCCAGGCGGAGATGCTGGCCCGGCAGCAGGACCTCCTGCGGAAGCAGAGCCTAGCTCGGTAGGTGTCAAGAAGCCAACGGAGTGTTGGTGGGGTGCACACCCAGAGTGACCCGCCTTCTCCCTTCCCCGCCAGGCTGGAGATGTCAGCAGAGCTGCTTCGACAGAAGGAGCTGGAGAGTACTCACCGGCCGCATCTGTTGGCTTCCGAGGTGGCCTTGCGTGCCCCAGACAGCGCTGAGGAGCTACAGCGGCGCGGAGCATTGCTGGTGCTGAAACAGAGCTCAGCCCCACTGCTAGCCCAGCCTACCCAAGGTCCGCCGGGCCCAGGGCCCCCAACCCCACCCCGCGAGTCTGCCCGCCGAGCTCCCCGGAAAGGAGGCACCCCCTCGGCTCCAGCACAGCCCAGCGAATCTAAAGAGGCAACAGGAGCTGGGCTATGGGCTCAAGATGGCGCAGAGGATGAGACACCCAAAGACTCAGACAGCGAGGACCCAGAGATGGCAGTTGCTGGGGGCCAGGGCCCCACCCCAGGCCAAGTCCCTGCTGGAGAGACCAGCGTGGAGGGGAAAGGGCCTCTCTCAGGGTCCACCCTTCCTCCACCACTGCCACTGGGCTTCCCCTATGCGGTCAGCCCCTACTTCCAAACAGGTGCGCAGGAGAGACTCGGGAGTCTTAGTAGGTGGTTCCTTTGGGAGGAAAAACCCTTCTAGTCACCCATCCTATAGTATAATTTGGGCAAGTAAAGGTCAACAGAAGAGGTGGGAACATGGGAAAAGTTGGGCCAGAGCCTCTTGACACCTCCCCACACATCCAGGCACCATGGGGGGTATCTTCTCCAATTCAGAGGAGGCCAGAGCTCCAGAGGACGTCAGCAAGTGGACAGTGGATGATGTCTGCAACTTTGTGGGGGGCCTGTCTGGCTGTGCAGAGTATACTCAGGTGAGTGAGCTGCTGACCCTTGGGGTTAGGTGGGGCTACCAGGTATCCACTCTTTTGTCCCCTATCCGTCCCCTATCAGCCACTGTCTTGATTTCACACAACCCACCCATGCCTGACGCTAGGGGCTTTCCTTTCCCATGGCTCTCTTCCACAAGCTGCAGACTGCTCTTGGCTCTGCCCTGGGGCCCTTTCTGGGCTGACCAATCTGCCCTTTCCACCCAGGTGTTCAGAGAACAAGGGATCGATGGGGAGACTCTGCCTCTGCTGACTGAAGAGCACCTGCTGACCACCATGGGGCTGAAGTTAGGGCCTGCCCTTAAGATCAGGGCCCAGGTGAGCATGACATGGGGGACAAGGGCTTTGTGCCTGAAGGACAGCCCCCAGGTCCCCTCCCTGGTAGGCGCCTATCCAGGCTTCTCTCTTTGTAGGTGGCCAAGCGCCTGGGCCGCGTTTTCTACATGGCCAGCTTCCCTGTGGCTCTGCCACTGCAGCCACCAACCCTGCAGGGTCCCGAAGAGCTCACCCCAGGAGAGCAGTCACCAACAGCCACCTCCCTCTATGCGGGGAGCCACCCCTCTGCAGGCCAAGCCTCACCCAAGCAGGAAAATGGAACCTCGACCATGGCTCTGCTCCCTGGGGCCCCAGACCCTTCCCAATCTCTGTGCTGAGCATGCGGGTGGGCCACTGGCACTCCCCAGCTCCATATGTGGTCCCCTACCCATCCCCAGGCATTTTTTTTCCTTTTGTTTTTGGATGCAAAAACACTAAGAATTTTTAAAAGGAAAAACATGTGACTTGAGAAGGGCAAGTTTCCAAAGACTCAAGGGTAACTGCAGAGATCTGCAGACAAACCAAAGACAAGGAGACAGGCCAGAGAACCTGCCTGCAGGCTTGGTCTTCCTCTGGGCTGCAGGCAGAATCCACCATGCTGGCTCCCAATTCCTGTTCCAGGTCAGCGAAGTCCTCATTGTCTGTTGTGCCATGCTGTAACTGTTGACTGCCCTTCAGGCTACAGACACTGGCCTCAGAACCTCTGGGGCGCTGCAGGAGACCTAGTCCTCCTCTGAGAGTTGCAGATCTTCCAGCTCATCCTGTGGCCCCTCAGCCAGCAGCCACAGCTCACCAGGGACCAGCCCCGCCTCTGCATCTGAACCTCCACCTGCAGGCAGAGAAACCTACATAAATTCTGCTTTACCATGAAGAAGCCAGTCTTGGAGGTTATTCATCACCAATTAATCACAGCACTGATTAATTTACTGGTGCCTGTAGCTGGTTGCCACAGGCCCTGAGAACAGAACAGCTGGCTTGGCATCACAAGGAGGAGCACAAGCCTAACTTAGAGCCACCCTCCTGCAACCAGCTGTCAGATGGGCTCCAGGCCAGTCTCCTTACCCTGGGAGCCACTCACCCACTGAGGTACTGCTGTCCTCTTCCTCTTCTTCCTGGTCATCCCCCTCATCCTCTTCCACTTCTGCTTCTTGCTGACCTCTCAGGGATGCAGCCGTCCCTGGAGACCAAGAGCCTGTGTTCATGACTCCTCCATCCTGGGCCCACCCACAAAGGCACAGTGGTAATGGCTGGGCAGGAAGGGGAACCAGGCCCGAAGCCACGCCTGGACACCCACCTGGGCCACAGGTCTGGGTTAGAGAAATGGACACCCACACATAAATGGAGAGTGTGACAGATTAGGCAAGGCCCTGCACAATCCCTGGGAGACCCAGCAGCTAAGAGAAAGAAACAGGTTTGCGCCACCAAGCCAGATCTGGGCCCCCTCATGCCTGCCCCTCCCCAGAAGTACATGCTGAAGCAGTGCAGGCCCACCTCTCTCTGAGAAATCTGTTACTTCATCTTCAGAACTATCCAGGTCAAAGAGGTCTTTAAACTCCCTTTTGTCCTCCTCCCTGTCCTCCACCTTTCGTCGCTTGATCTCTGGGAAATTCAGCTCTTCCAGCTGGAAAACAAGCCAGTCCTATTGGTGGGAGCTGAGCACCTAGCCCATGCTACTTTACTTCCCACCTCAGCTCACCCAAAGCTTGAGCCAGGTCCTACAGGTCTGCTTGTGGACAGTGAATAGCTGCCACGTTTTACCCAACCCCCATGTCCTATACTTCCCTCACTTAGTGGCTTCCCTCCCAGCCAAGCCCCTGTCTCAAGGGCCCTGCTCAGCTGCTTTCCACTGGCCAGCCTTCTGATGCCAGGTCAGACAATACACCAATGGCATACACCCATCCCTCCCACCTGCCCTCCTGGTACCTACAGGATAACCTATGTGACTCTGCTTCCTCAGAACCCTCAACCCACCCAGCAGGTACAAGTTGGAGGAGAGACCTCCACTCCTAATAAGCAACTGAGAAGTGGAAAGAAGCTCCCTAACTCGAGCCAGATCTTCATGAGACTTTATACCCATCCCCCCCCCCCCAACTGAGTATAGATTCACAGTCTGGTCAGCCAGCCATAGCCTTTCCCTACCTCGCTGAAGCCATCCCCCAGCTTCCAAACTAAGGAAGGGCAGAAGCAAAATCTTCTCTGCCTGAAGTCATGCCAGTGTGCATGATCTGAATGTAGCTGACCCATCCACCCAGCCCAGGCCTCGACATACCCGCTCTTTGCCACTGATCTCCAGTTGGATCTCTCGGTCCCTCAGCTTCCGCCAGTGGTTATAGTACCTGGTAAGTGGGGGTCCCTCTTCCCGGACCCGTTTCTCCCAAGCATCCTGGGGATTAGGGCTGGTTAAGGTCATGTCCCCCTCCCCCTCCCCCCCGGCACACCCCTACACCTCAGCCACATATGCACCAGTACTCTCAGGCAGTGCTCTCCCTGCCCTGCTCAGATGTGTCTCCCAACTGACCACTGCGAGTTGGTTGGATACACCGAAAGACACCTTCTGGCGGCAGTTTTGGATGTACTCTGCATTCTCCTGCACCTTCTCCAGCAGCTGGCGCAGCTGCCGGCAGTAGTTGGCCACCTTGCACTCCCGGAGGAAGGACTTCAACTGCAGAAGGGAAGGGGCTCAGCCAGCACCCACACAGGGCTACTTTGCACCCAAAGCCAAGGACCCACTTTAGCTACCCACGGTCCTAATAGGCACAACAGAAATCCGTTTCAGACCCAAGTGCCCACAAATGGGTGGCAGGGCCAAGGGGGTGAATTAGTCCCCACTAATGGCCCCATCCTACCCACTGCCTGTCTAGTAAATAAAGCTCCACTACACACAGCACGCATTTGCTTCTCAGTTGCTTTTGCACTGTGGGCAGAAGTGACCCAAGAACAGCTGTGAGAAACCACATAACCTGCAAAATGTACAGTGTGTATTTACTATTTGGCATTTTATTTTATTTTATTTATTTTTTTTAACATTTATTTATTTGTGTGTGTGTGTGTGTGTGTGTGTGTGTGTGTGGCCAGCTCAGCCCACCAGGGGGCGGGGCTGGCTGTCATGTGGTGCTGGGGGATTGAACCACGGTCCCTGTGCATTGCCAAGCTTGTTTCAAGTAGGTGCTTTAGACCACTGAGCCATCTCTCCAGCCCCTTGGCATTTTATTTTAAATAAATAAATTTACTCTAGAGCTGCAAACTTGGGACCTTGAGCCCAGAAGCAAGTGCCCTGACTACCAGGCATCATCAAGCCAAGAAAACGGGGGGACAGACCATGCCACAAACCAAGTGTGACCATGACTCAGGGTGGTCAGTATGTACAGTTACAGGTATACAACTGCTGCCTTGCACACACACCTGTGTCTGAATGGGCTTGAGCCAGGAATAGCACTGGTATGAGCAGTAGCCCTCCCAGCAGGCCTGTGACTACCAGAGCTGATCCACCTAGCAGGGACAGAAGAGGACAGCTGTGCCCACTCCTGTGAGAGGTACAGGTCTACCTGACATGAAAAGTAGCTGGGCTGAGAGCAAGCAGATACTTGTGGGCAGAGAGGGAGTTTTCAAGAGAATCCCAACTCCACCCTTAGGACCACCTGGAAAAGCAGCAAGGGATCAGCCCTGCCCAAGGTTCAGAGTTCTGTGCTATAGCAGGTTCGGACAGCCTGGAGAAGGGCCAGTGTGTCACCCAGGCCCACCCCAACCTGAACAGCTGATAACCCTTCACCCAGAGCCACCGCCAAAGTTCCCCTAAGGGTCCCATATCCCTGTGAACATGATCACTACACTGTGGCTGCAGGAGAGCCAGTGTGGAGTCCATAAACTGCTTGGGCTCTGCTGTTGGCCCTGTGTGACTGGACCAGGACACCTTCCTTTGGCTTGTGCTTGTGGTACAAACAGAAACAGGCAACAGGAACATACCTGCAGGATGGTGGGCAGTACAAGCTCTGGGAAGGCAATGCTGTGGGCCTGGCCATACAGGTACTCCATCGTAAGGTCATACAACTGCTCCACCAACCCATCCTGAGGCAGCAGGACATGACTAAGGTCACCAAGGGACTGGGCACAAGCTGATGAGTCCACTCAAGTCTCCAGGACAAAGTATAAGGAAGTGCCCCACCCACCCACCAAGCCATACTCAAGATTCCCAGGAACTGGGACTAAACAGCCCCTGGGCCCTGACCCAGGAGATTTGTAAGGTCCCTGCCAGCAGGTCTCTCCTGTCCATCTCAACCCCACCTGAGCACAGCCATATGCTCTCCCTGGGCCTGGAGCCTCCCTTACCCGATAGGCTTTCTCTTGTAGGTTTGCACTGGACAGCTTTAGGATCACAGAGAAGTTGATGGGCCTGGAGCTCATCCGGCCTGGTCGCTTATTGAAGTCCACCTGCTGGAAAACCTGCGCCCAGGGTACGTCACCCAGCCCATCCTCAGATATCACCAGGCTGAGCAGGCAGATACAAGAGAGACTCTAAAGCCCATAGACGCCCTCCAATTCTGTCTTCCAGAGCTCTGGCCTCTGGGTGGCCCTAGTGGGTAGAGCAGTGCTCCTGAGGCTCCCTCAAAGATAGAAGGCTGTAAGGATCAGCACAGGGAGACCAAGAAGGAAGGGGGCCCACCCACTGCTCACTCCTCTCTCCAGAGGCCAGGCACAACTACATCCTGGTTGCTGGGAGGGTGTCACCATAACAAAGGACCACCATATACAGGGATGTGACAGCGGATGTCTCAGATGGTCCTGGAGGCGTATGCCCTCCACAAAACATAAGCTGGGCATCAAAACTTTCCCAAGGGGAGGGAGTGGGCCTGGACCCTCCACAACCACCAGGAGACCCTACACCAGCACTGGTAAAGCAGGGATGCCCAAAACTCGTGCAGAGTGTTAGGAGGTGGGCCACAGAAGGGACAGGAGATCTAATTCAGCAGGGCAGGTGCTGGACAGCATCACTGACAACAGCAGAAAGCAATGCCCTGTCTCTGCCTAAGAAGAGAGCTGGGTGGAGGCTGAGTCAACACTCCCTTCTTTCCCTCCCATCAAGGCAGGGCAGTGACACCTAGTAGGCAGTTTTGCTTCAGTCTTCGTCTGCTTTCTCAGAGACGTGTACACCTGAGTATTGGAGAGCCCTGCTACATAAAACAGAGTGAGCCAAGGCAGGGGTAACATAGGGCTACCCTAAGTGAAAGAAAAAAGGGAAAGATGTGCTGAGTATGACAGTGCAACCTTATAATCCCATAGTTCAGGGAAGGCTGAGGAAGGAGAAACTGCAAGCTTGAGTCTAACCTGGGCACCTTTATTGTGTAAAGCCCCTCCACTGCCCCAAATATATGCACACAAAGGGAACAATGCCATAGGAGAGGATGAGACCTGAGGAGACAGAACCAGAGCCACTGGCAGGACAGGAAGCCCTCAGGGTAGTGCAATGACAGAAGGGTCACAGAACTGGGAAAGGACTGCTGGTGGCTCTCACAGACAGGTGTGATATCCAAGGAGTGTTTACCAGGCACAGCAGCCTGATCAGCAGAATGGGAATGGCAACCTTCTTTCCCCCTTGACATGTCCCCAGGAGAGGGAATACACAGAGATGGCAACTTCTGGAGTACCTCACACTCCAGCCTTTCTTTAACCCAGCAACACTCATGTGTTCATGCACACAACTGTCTAGGCAGCACCCTCAGAGGCCATACAGCCACCATCTGGGATTCAGGCCTACCTTTTCTGCTCACTCCATTTCTGAGCAAACACCTACATGGTCAGAGATGGTTCCCTAACCACACAGCTGGCAGCCTGAAGCCCGACCCTGGGAGCACATATTTGACATCCATGATCAGTGGACAGCAGACAAAGTACTAAGCAGAACATGCTCACAAACTTACACCCTAGACAAGGAAGATGACAAACTCAGGACAACCATATGGATTCCTCACAGCAGACTGAAGGGCAGTTGGCCCCCGAGCATATGCAGTATGCAGTTTACTCACCTCAAGGATGAAGGGCAGCACAGGGACGAAAGTCCCAGTGCTCTGTGATAGCAGTGTCAGGGCACGCACACAGTGCAGACGCAGTGGGTAGAAGCGCGCAGTGGGGACCAGCCTGTAGCAGTGAAGTCCAAAGGGCAGGGGCCAGGTTTGCACAGCCTGTACGATGCCAGCCTCGGTTGCCCCGCTGACTCCAACCCTTGCCCCCTAAAATGGCTTAAGCTGCAGGAAGGCCTTTCACTTTTACTGGGCAATAGGCCACAGTATGCACAGCAGACAGAATAGGGCATAACAAGATACCCAACTCAGGTTCTGACCTAAGGACCTGCCTCCTTATCCACTACAGGGCTAGAGAGATACCTTTCTTAGGAGATGTGGGTGGGGGTAGTACTAGGGACTAAACCCAACCCAGGTTTTAATTCCGTTTCACTCTAATGTGTGGGGCAGTTCATTTTGGGGGCTTCCTCCCTTGCATGGTTGGTCTCCCTTCCAAGCCGATCTCTAAGGTTCAGGGGAATGCTTCAGGAGGACAGACACACCCCCTGCTGGCCAGAAAGGCACATGGCCCCTCACCCACACCAAACCAGAGTCCCAGAGACAGAAGTGCTGTGCAGCTGACTACCTCACTTCACCAAAGAGTGAATGGCCATGAATCTGGTCCCTCTTCCAATGCAGGAGGACCCCAGACCCTGCCCCAGACAGTCAGACCCATGAGAGCCCTGGTCACCAAGGGCACTATCCAGAGTCCTCACCCCATAGAGCCCACACAACCGTACCCTGGACTCACTTGATACAGCCAATGGCAACTTGCACAAGGGGGTAAAGTAGGGGCTGCAGTGCCTCACTGGAACCAAGGACACTCAGGACGCGGCACCACAGGTGGAGGCAGTGGACGTACTGCCAGTTATACACGGCCTGGTGTGTCTCCTGGTCAGAATGAATTCCACATTGAGACCCAGCTCCCTGACAGCAGCACTGTGTGCCTACCTCGCCCACAGTCCCCAACAAAGTGCAAGGCTGTCTCCTCCAACAGAAAGGGAGGGCTGGAGAGATGGCTCAGTGGTCTAAAGCACCTACTTGAAACAAGCTTGGTAAAGCACAGGGACCGCGGTTCGATCCCCAGCACCACATGCCAGCCAGACCCGCCCCCTGGTGGGCTGAGCTGGCCACAAACACACACACAATAAATAAATGTAATAAATAAATGTAATAAATAAAAATAAATAAATATTTAAAAAAAAAACAGAAAGGGAAACCCTCTGCTGTGTTGAGCTTCTGAATGGGGAGGGGCCAGACTGTACCTTCTTGCCAGTGGTCATGGCATTACGCAGGTGGATGGCCAGCTGGCGGATGTAGAGGAAAGCATGCTGGTAGGAGACGCTGGGGTCCAGGGCAAGCAGCTCAGTCAGCGTTCGCTGCATGAAGCTGATGAGGGGTAGGGTACTGGCAGAGGTGAACTTGCAATTCCTCACATATGTGATGTACATTTGCTGCCACAGAAACCTCAGTCAAGGCCACCTGAGCACTCACTACCCAGAGGAGCCAAGCCATCTGCCAACCCCTGGCTCTTTCCCTCAGAGATGCACAAGATCATACCCCCCAACTCAGGCTCCCGAGGCTGCTCAGTCTGCATACATGTGCCCAACATATGTACCCACCAGCTTCAGGCACAGCCCAGCGGGTCTTGTAAGAAAGGTGCATAAGGAAGGGGTAAGCTGATGATCAGGCAAGAAGACTATCAAAGCTTTAGGAAGGGGTTCCAGAGGCCTTGTGATTGGCTGGGCCACCCTGAGTCTGGAGCTAGGCAGCAGAGTTTGGATCCTGGCTGTGATCTCAGACCTGCTTCTATTTTGCATGCATAGTGGTAGAGTTCAGATGGAACCCAAGAAGATGCAGGGCTCCTGTTCTCATTACCGACAACAACTTTCCCGCAAGGACACTGTGACTTAAGGGCCTGGCTCTATCCACAGCCACAATGCCAGGGCTCAGGAAGGAACACCAGCCACAAAGGCACACTGCTAGGCCCCCCAAGCCGATTCCCAGCACCAACACTGATAGACATATGTGTACCTTCAAGACAGGGCTCAGAAAAACGTCCTTTTTGTGTCGACAGACTCTAACAAGAATCAGGAAGGCCAGCACCCGCAGGGACTCCTCACCAGTGCTCCACAGAACCACCATCCTCTAAGGAGAAGGCACATTGCTGCTTATCCCATCCCTCACCCAGGACCCTGCCAGGGCCAGCACACCTTTCTCAAGCCAAGCCAGAAGTTCATGTGGTCACCTGCCACAGGAACTTCTGTGGCAACACCCATTTACATGTCAGAGAGAAGCCGTGTAAGCATAACAGAGAAAAAGCAAAGTGTAGAACGGGTCAGATCATACCCCATAAGGGCAAAACCTTGAGACTCTGCCTTGACTATCATGTGTGCACATCAGTATACACGACGTTACAGTGACAAGCACATTTAATAACCCCAACACATTAGCACACACTGCCCCATGGGGTCTATTCTCATATCCCTAAGCCATGCCATGGGAGAAGAAGAGCCAGTGGAGAATGTAACAAGATTGGGGCGGCTGCCTACTCTGCCTGGCCAGCAGTAGGGCAACTGGGTGGCCTGTGCACCTTACCACAGCACATGTGGGGGGCCCACCTTGAGTAGCACACGACATTGTTTGGGGAAGGTCAGGTAGTATGGTACCAGATGGCTGATATGCTGCAAGACTGCTGCCAACACTGTGGCTTCTGCCAGACAGGTCACCAGCTGAGGAAATAGAGGAGATAGTAAGCCTGAACTCACTTGGATCTGAGGCACAAAGAAATGCTAGACCATGGGAATGGCCAGCCTCCTGCCTATGACAAAGGCTCCCATTCCCATCCTCCACTGCTGCCAGAACAGTACCTGCATGACTGCACTCAGGTATGCCTTGACATCCACACGGAGCTTCCCCCAGAGCGCACTGCTAGATGGCTGCAGCATCCTGCAAAAACAGAAGCTGCCTCAGCCCATCTCAGTCACACCTGCCCGGCAGTGCCCTCAACGCCGAAGCATAGATCCCCACCTCTCTCCACAGAAAGCTTATGACTCCACAGCTGGCAGACACAGAGGCTTACCAAAACTTCTCATGGGTGGCCCAGACTGAGGCATGCAAGAAGCAGCTCTAGCCCATCACAGCCACCTACATGGCTAAACCACAGGGCCACTGCACCCAGTGTCCTGACTCCTGGCCTCCCTGAAGGACTCTCAGGCCCGGTTGCCTCCCTCTGACATAACTTTCCTCTGGGACCCGTTGACCTTCTGCACCTGAACTCTGCAGCCAGCACTCCAGAGCCTCTGGAGCCAAACCACATACCACTCACTGCAATAGGATGGTGTCTTTGACTTACATATCCTACTTATCCAGCCACACAAATCTGCAAACTCAGTTTCACTTAAACCCCAGGCCTTTAGGCCTCCCAAACACTGAACACCTGGCAACTATGGCTGAGTCTCTAAGGCTGAGTCCCATATCAGCTGCTCAGTGAAAATTGCAGAAAGGTCACGAGGACCAAGGGCAGGGCCTTCATGCTGCCATTTCCCCACCTTGCCTCCAAGTGCTAACATCATCTGTTTCCTTTGAAAAGGAACCAATAGGACTAGTTCAACTCTCCAGACCCTTACTGCCTCAAGATCATGAGGTGGCACAGCCTCCTAGCCCCACCATGACTCCCACTGTACACTCACTTACTATGCTTACCTCAAGACCTTTCACAACTAATGCACAAACCAACTAGGCTCCTATGTGTATACACACCTTTCAGAAACAGGCTAAGCAGATGTTAAGGAGCATGGACAGGATTCATATATCCACAGAGGAAGGAGAGAACAAGTCTGGGTTTAGGAAAAGTCAAGAAAAATACCAAGCTGATATTAAGCTCCCAAGAAATTCTAAGCAAGAATTTATTTCCCAAGGGCCACTCAGGGCCAGTAAGCCTGTGCCCTCTCTTGTAGAGCAACTTTTACCGTACCCACCCTCTCACCTGGTGCTGTCCATTGGTGCCTTTCCAAACAGCAGCTTCTGAAGATCACGAAAGAGGTCTCTGACACAAAAGGTAACCAGTGCATTGAACACTACAAGGAAGGGATACAGGTGTCACTCACAGGACTGAACATGCCATCAAGCCTGACCCCGGCCTCTGGTTTCTGCTTACCAGCACTGTCTGAGACCTGGAATCTATAGCCCTCAGCCCCTTCCTGGTCTCCTTGGGTGGTGGCCACAGCAGCTCGGAATGCCTGGACAACTTCATGAAACAGCTTGGGAGTGAGGTGCTGCTGTAAGGACAAGAGACCAAGAACACTGGCAGTGCAGCAGACCCCAAGGGAAAGCACAAGGGGCAGCTTGCTCCAGGAACCTACTCAGAGAGAGGAGCCTCTCCCCCTCCCCCATCTCAAATACAATGAAGAGGGGGAAGCTTGATCACTGAGGCATGCATCGGCAATAAAAATGCAGACAAGTTTATTATAATTCTGGAAGCATAGAAGTCCGCTTCAGGAGCCCCAGGGGAAAGAGCTAAAAGAGTCCTAGACCAAGGACCACAGTCAGCTCCAAATGCTATCTGGAGATCTCTCCATTCCTTTCTGTGCAGAAACCAACATGAGATACTCAGAAAAAGCCTGGCTCCAGCAAGTCAACAAATGCTAGGGTTTGAAAGTGTCCCCCAAAGCCCACATGTTGTTAGAAACTGAACACTCAGATTCAAAGTAGAAGACATTTTGAGGGATAAACAGAATTAGATGATGTGATCAGTATGGAATCCCTATGATAGCATTAGTGGCTATGTAAGAGGAAAAGTTGGGGCTGGTTGAGAGAGACAGGGACAGAGACAGTCCGATAAACATACTTTGCTTATAAACTACCTTGTCAATAGCATTCCATTACAGAAATAGAAAACCCTAAGACATGAGAACACAATGCCTCACCCACAGTGGCCTGATTTCAGGAAGCAACAGAGCCCCTGCATTCTGACTCCAGGAGAAGATGCTGCCTGGGCAGTGCAGCACTCAGAAAGAGCACATGAGATTATTTACTGCTGCTCAGAGAAACATCTTCCTACCTTCAGAGTCGTGGCTACCACATATGAGGCAAGGACAGAGGTGGGGGGTGTTAGATGTTGTGCTCGTTGATGCACTGTGTCAACTTGAAAAGTTTAGAAGTCTAAGTGACTCAGCAGGGAGCTGGGGTTCTTACTGTGTAAATATCCTCATCCTATGCAAGAGGAGGGTATGGACATTGTATGAGTTCTACAGACTCACCCCAAGGTAGCCTGCTTATAAAGAAAGGAAAAAGGCAGCTGCTACTGCTCCTCCCCTTACTCTTTGCTGTTTTCTGCACCATGAACTTAACCCTTTGCCATGTGCCACCCTGCCTTAGAGCTAGCAGAGTATGGACTGAAACTTCTACAAGCTGTGAGCTAAATAAACATTTCCTTACTGAATTTTGGGTATCAGGTATTTTGCCCCAGCAACAAGAGAAAGGTAACAGGCAGCTGACCAGCCCTTACCGCTTCTCACCTTTGCTGCTTGCTTCCACCTTTCAACCATACCAAGGGTCACAGGAACAGGTTCATTCTTCCCCTGAAGGCCTTTGGACACTCTGTCTCCATCTTTCCCCTCCTCCTCCTCTTCCTCCTCACTTGCTTCCTGCAGCAGACAAAGAAGGGCCAAATTGGGACAGGGTGTACCAGGCACAGTGCCCCTATTGCCAAGGTCCCAGGCCTCACCTCCAGTACATCTGGCAGGGAGTGGAACTGCTCCTCTCCTTCCTCAGAGCTATCTGAGTCACTAAAATTCAGCAGGCTCTGGTCATTCTCCTGCAGAAACTTGTAGAACTCAGGGTCTTTGTCCTTCAGCCGAGAGAGCTGATCCTTGTGCTCAGAGGCACGGCCTTTATGCCTGCTAAGAAGGAGAAACAGGGCGGTGGGGGGGGGGGAGCTCCAACATGCTGGTGTTCTCTGACACGGTTAGTCTGCTCCCTCAACCAATAACTAAACAAGGATATTCCCAGGGCATTAAGTTTTGAGCAGGCTCATCTCTTTCAGATTAGCCTCTTAATACTGTTCACACAAATGAATCTCAATCTTTGCTCTCTCCAGACTTTCTGTACCCATCCATGCTCTACCCCAGCTGTCTGAACTTGCTGTCAGTGTACAACAGCAACACCTTCAAAGATATACATGCCCCTTCTCAAACCACCATGTCTCTCAATACTGCAAGTGCCCCCCTACTCCACCCTTGCCACCTACAACCCTTCCCCTTAAGTGCTTGGGCTCTGAGGTGATTTACCATCCCATTATGAGATCTCTAAGGACCTGGCCCATAGCCCTGGTTCACCTCAAAGTTTGTTTTGTTTTGCTTTGTTTATTGTTTTTTGACACAGGGTCTCTATACAGTTTTCGGCTGGCCTTGAACTCACTGTGTAGCCCAGGCTGGTCTCGAACTGGCAACAATCCTCCCACTTTAGCCTCAAGAAAGCTAGAATTGTAGGCGTGCCACCACCACACCTGGCTATCCCAAGGCTTTTGCCGCTCCTGCTCTGCTGCCTACACAGCTGGCTCCCCCAATCCTCATTCAACGTCGCCCTCCCAAAACTCCTCTGCCTCGTCTAACAAGGCCTGCAACTCTCATCACTCTAGCCTCTTCTGTTTTACCATACCGAGCACAGCGCCACCTCCTAACACGATACACACCGAGATTTACACAAGTCTGAGAAAGGTCTCCTGGGTCAAGAGCGGTCCTCGGTATACGCACATCCAGAGAAGGCAATGAGGGAGGCACCGCGAGCGGCCATCCGCCAACGACCCGCGCCTAGGGCTGGAGGAGATGCCCGCTCACCTGGCCGAGGCACCCCGGTCCGGACCACACAAGCTCGGGGCAGCTCCGCGTTCGCGTGCTCCTTGTGTCGCCGCCTCTGAAGTTTCTTCGGGCTCCGACTCAGACTCGGAATCAAAACCCGAAGCCAGGAACTCATCCACCGTCAGGTCTGCCAGACGCCTGCGGGTCACAGTGAAGGTCACAGCTGCCTGTCATCGCGCTACTCCCAGCCCCAGGAAAAGAGCGAGAAGATCCCACAAGGTACCGGGGCCAACCCAAGGGCCGCGCAGCCCCTGTACTCACACACCTCTTGGGGCCACGCGCCGCCGCCATGACGACGACTGCGCCGCGTGCGCCGCACTTCCGATCCCAGAATGCCAAGCCCTAGCCGCACTTCCTCTGGGCCAGCCCCGCCCCAAGCCTGGCCCCGCCCCACCAAATGGCTCTACGGTTCCTTGACCGTGGCGCCGGCGGTGTCCGGGTGGGAGGGCGGTATCGCAACCTATTTCCTTGGACTGGATCTCTGAGCAGCAGTACGCATTCGCCTGACAGGACCTAACAGCCGTTAGCAGCTCTGTAAGACTGAGTAACAGTGGTTTCCACCCGGGGAAGACGAGGTCAGGGCGTCCGGCCCAGCCCTGCCCGCAGCCCACTGTGTTGATGCATGGTAGCGACAAGAAACAAAATAAAAGGGAGACAAAAGGGAGTGCTATGCAAAGAGAGCTGACAAGTCAATAGCGACAACCAAAAGGGGTCATAGGGAAAACAGAAACGCAGCCCGTAATATTGCGCAGAAAGTTCGCCCAAGATCCGACGCCGGGTAGCCAAGCTGCCCTCCCCTGATATCTTCCGGACAGGTCCACACTGTGAGTGCAGATCCCCGTGTTACCCCGCCGCCCAGACAGCCGGATTTGTACCTCGCTCGAGAGACTCCCCTAGAGTCCGCGGACCTAGTCCGCCCGACCCCACCGCCAGCAGTGCCCAGAGCGAGGCCTGGCGCGGCTGGATGAGTGGTGCAACCCTGTTGGGCGGGGACCTGCACCAGCCTCAGAGGCTGGGCGTTGGGGGGAAAGGGGGGGTGCCAGAGACGGGGCGGGCGGCACCGAGAAACAGCGACTTAGGAAGGTGGCTTCGCTAAGCCCAGGGGTTGCTGCCACAGCCGCTGAGCAACCCTCCCGTCGGCGGTGCGTCGCACCTCCTGCGCTCCGCGGCTCGGCGGAGGGTCTGACTGCCAAATTCATGCAGCCGCGCGGTGAGCGCCCAGCCGGCAGGACGCAGAGCCCAGAGCACGGCAGCCCGGGGCCGGGGCCCGAGGCCCCGCCACCGCCGCCTGCGTGAGTGGGGCCGGGGAGAGGGCGGGTGGGCGGAGGGACAAGCCCCGCAGCCCGAGCCCGGAGTCGGTCCTAGGAGCCTGGAGTCTCCGGCCACCTGGGGTCCACCTGGAGAGTGGTGCGCAGAGCGGTGGGAGCGGAGTGGGGGTCTGCGGCCCCTTGGGATGGGCAGGTGGACAGTGGGGCGGCAGCATGAATCTCATGGAGCTGCAGTAGTCGGAGAGGCTGGATAGGTTACTGTCAGAGCGCAGAGTCCCGGCCTTACCAGTTGGGAGGGGGTTTGGAAAAGAGGAGGTCCCGAGTGAGAGAGCGGGGTCAGTGGCAAGGTGTCTTCTCTGGAGATGTGCATGGGCTGCTGGGCTCTTGATGAGATGGCTGGAGTGATGGCTATACCTACAGGTTCAAAGGGTGGGATGAACAGCTCTGGAGGGCACACTTGACTTAGCCATGCATGCCTGCAGACCGGAGGCAGAGCGTGCGAGGCCCAGGCAGGCCCGGGGCACAGTCCCCATGGAGGGTGCCATGCAGCTGCTGAGCCGGGAGGGCCACAGTGTGGCCCACAACTCCAAGCGGCACTACCACGACGCCTTCGTAGCCATGAGCCGCATGCGGCAGCGTGGTCTCCTGTGTGACATCGTCCTGCATGTGGCCGCCAAGGAGATCCGCGCACACAAGGTGGTGCTGGCCTCCTGCAGCCCCTATTTCCACGCCATGTTCACAAGCAAGTACTTGTTTGGGTGGCACATGGAGTTTTTTATAGGCCAGCAGGCAGACACCAGGCTGACTCCCTGTTTTCCTGTCCCCACAGATGAGATGAGTGAGAGCCGACAGACACATGTGACACTGCATGACATCGATCCTCAGGCCTTAGACCAACTGGTGCAGTTTGCATACACAGCTGAGATTGTAGTGGGCGAGGGCAATGTGCAGGTGAGGCTGTTGCCATCTTCTGAGGGGGTCTTCTCCATCCCCCCAAGCCTGTGTCCTCAAGCCCTCCCCTCTCAGTTACTTTGTGCTCCCCTGGCACCTTCCTGTCTCACTTTCACCTCTGTGCCTGCAGACACTGCTACCTGCTGCCAGCCTCCTGCAGCTGAACGGTGTCCGAGATGCCTGCTGCAAGTTCCTGCTGAGTCAGCTGGACCCCTCCAACTGCCTAGGAATCCGGGGCTTTGCCGACACACACTCATGCAGTGACCTGCTAAAGGCAGCACACAGGTACGTGCTGCAGCACTTCGTGGACGTGGCCAAGACTGAGGAGTTCATGCTCTTGCCGCTGAAGCAGGTAACGTGCCAGATGGGATGCAGCCCACATTATGTCCTGGCCCCACCCAGACAACAGGACCCAGCAACCAGCACCACAACCCTTGTTCTCACCTCCCACATCCACACTGTGACCATCCTGGGACCCGTAAATCTTGTCCCCATTTTCTGATTCTACTAAACCTTTACCGTCTACACTTTAACCCATTCTGTTCTAATGTCTGTGCCTGTAATCTGTACTTCCTGGCTCTGCATCACTGTGACCACTGGATTTAGGCTCCCCCAGAAACCAAGTCTGGCTCCTGACCCTGCTTGGCACCTCCCTGTAGGAACACTGAGCCCCCAACTGGAACCTCCTTCCCAGGCACCTTCAGGGCTCCCTGGGCACACAAGGACCCTCCCCAGGTCTCAGGTCTGAGGGCCCCCACCTCCAGGTGCTGGAATTGGTCTCTAGCGACAGCCTGAATGTGCCTTCAGAGGAAGATGTCTACCGTGCAGTCCTGAGCTGGGTCAAACATGATGTGGACACTCGGAGGCAGCACGTCCCCCGGGTAAGGCCAGGTGCTGAGGCTCCCATGGTGTCTGGGAGGAACACGGGTGACTGAGACCTGGGTATTCTTCATGTACTCCCTGGCCCCATCAGGGACCCATAGGAGAAGGGCAGGCACTTAGCTCGAGATCCCATCCTGCAGATGCAGAGGGTTTCTGAGCTAGAACTCTCAGCCCTGGGGCAAGTGTGCCTAGGGGGTTCCCTGACCTTGGCATGCCCCACCCCAGCTTATGAAGTGTGTGCGGCTACCTCTACTGAGCCGTGACTTTCTTCTGGGCCATGTGGATGCTGAGAGCCTTGTACGACATCACCCCGACTGCAAAGACTTGCTTATCGAAGCTCTCAAGTTTCACCTGCTGCCGGAGCAGAGGGGCGTCCTAGGCACCAGCCGCACTCGGCCCCGGCGCTGTGAGGGTGCTGGCCCTGTACTCTTTGCTGTGGGTATGCCCACCTGGCCCCTCTTTCCTCATGGTGCTGCACTGGGCCTTCCATCTCCATGCCCAGCACTAGCCTAGCTGATATTGACCTGCTTTTCCCTCCTCCTTCATCCAGGGGCCTCTCAAGGGTCTGTGGGGTCTGACCCACCAGTGTGATCCAATCCCTGTGTCTTGTCATAAGAGACCCATGCCCTTGCCCCTCAGCTGTTCTAGAGCTCTTTTGCCTACCTAGGCCCCTCCTGCCCTTTCACCCCTCACTAGGTGGAGGGAGCCTTTTTGCCATTCATGGGGACTGTGAAGCATATGACACCCGAACTGACCGCTGGCATGTGGTGGCTTCCATGTCTACACGTCGAGCCAGGGTGGGAGTTGCTGCTGTTGGGAATAGACTATACGCTGTGGGCGGGTAAGCATAAAGGATACATGTGAGCGGGGCTCTGTACATGTGTGCTTGGCCAACTGTGATCAGTAATGGAAACCTTTCCTAGCTATGATGGGACCTCAGACCTGTCTACTGTGGAGTCATATGACCCCGTGACCAATACATGGCAGCCTGAGGTGTCCATGGGCACAAGGCGAAGTTGCCTGGGTGTAGCTGCGCTGCATGGGCTTTTGTACTCAGCTGGTGGCTATGACGGGGCCTCCTGCCTCAACAGGTAATAACAGGGGTTGAGACCCCAGTGGCCTCACAGGGTTGGCTTAGGAGCAGGAGGTGAAGCTGTGATGTCTGCCTAGAACAAGTCCTGCCTGACCAAGCCATGGGGTCCCCAAGCCTTCTTCACTTCAGACCATAGCAGCGCCAGAGCCTAGGCTCTTTTCTCCCCATTTTCCTCTGTGCCCCAGACTTCTAGTTCGGGTGGGGAGGGGGATGCCCAGGATGGTGCAGGCACCCCCATGAAGTACAGGCATGCCCACGGTTACCCCGTGGTAACCCAGGAAGTCTTATTGTTTGTTGTGGTAGGGCTCCAGTGTCAGAATTTTATGATGTGCAGCAGGGGGTTTCAGCACTCCCTAGGAGGACGGGCCCTTGGGGGAGGATACTTTCTCTATCCTTGCTGATGGTCGGCAGCTCTCTGGTGCCCACAGTGCTGAACGCTATGACCCCCTGATGGGAACATGGACATCCATTGCTGCCATGAGCACCAGGAGGCGCTACGTGCGTGTGGCCACACTCGGTGGGTAATGGCGCCTGCACTCTATGCACCTGCCCTTCTGCCTGCCCCCACCCCACACTCAGCAGGAGCACCAGGGTATGTTGTTTTCCTGCAGATGGGAACCTGTATGCCGTGGGTGGCTATGACAGCTCCTCACACCTGGCCACTGTGGAGAAGTATGAGCCCCAGGTGCATAATGCACCCCAATGATGACCACCCTTCCCCTGTGCTCCCTGGGGTCGTTCCACCCTGAAGTAGGTCCTCTTAGTGGGAGGGATACCCTTGTTGGGTCACCCTCCAACCTGTACTCTCCTGCAGGTGAACTCGTGGAGTCCCGTGGCCTCCATGCTGAGCAGGCGAAGCTCTGCTGGTGTGGCAGTACTGGAAGGTTCCCTGTATGTGGCAGGAGGAAATGATGGCACCAGCTGTCTCAACTCAGTAGAGAGATACAGTCCCAAGGCTGGCGCATGGGAAAGTGTGGCACCCATGAATATCCGCAGGTTCGCAGCCAGGGGTGGCCAGTGGACACTTCCAGCCACCACAGAGGGCAGTGCTGGGCATGTGCTGTGAGGAATGGGCTCGGGGTGGGGGCTGGGGCTGCTCTCCCTCCTTCCCCTGCTGGTCCAGCCCCTGATCTCACTGTGGTCTTCCCACCCCCAGGAGCACACATGACTTGGTGGCCATGGATGGATGGCTCTATGCTGTAGGGGGCAACGACGGCAGCTCCAGCCTCAACTCCATTGAGAAATACAACCCAAGGACCAACAAATGGGTGGCTGCCTCTTGCATGTTCACACGGCGCAGCAGTGTGGGTGTGGCAGTCCTGGAGCTGCTCAACTTCCCACCACCATCCTCACCTACACTGTCTGTGTCCTCTACCAGCCTCTGACCTGCAGTACGGACCACACAGAGGCCCTACATGCCTTAAGCCCCACAGGGTGGCCCCTGCACCTCCCTGTCCCTGACTGTATGTTGGGGGCAGGATCCACAGCTCCCACCAGGGATAGCCTACAACATCTGTCCATGTCTGCGTTCGTTTTCCTCGGTGTTCCTTTATGTGTGTGCTGTTTATTTATTGATTCACTATTTATTGATGGACAAGCAGAACTGCAGCTACCAGTTTATATGTTTACTGTCCAAATGTGGCTCTTCTGTCTGTGAGGACCAGGCAGCCCTCCAGACTCCTGCCTGAGACAGCAGGAATGATGAGGGTAGACACTCCCTACAGAGGGTTCAGCAGCCAGAATTAGCAGCAGGAGGGGATTGAAGGCTTTCTAAAACAGGTGCAGATCCCTAGCCATGCTTTGCACAGCACCCTTACCTGGCCCAGCCAAGCACCGTTCCTAGGAAGGGCACAAAGCAGGCTTCCTTCCTTCCTGTGTCCTGTATGCAGTTGGTGTCTTTTCTGGGTCTTGTTTGGGCCTGAGCACACATATGCACTCAGACCCTACACAGCAATATGAGCCAACTTGAATAATAAACATGTTTCTTGGGCTCCTTGGGTTGGAGGCTGAGTGTCCATCTCTGGCCCCTCTTATCCCCTGACTTGTGAGACTGCAACGTAGCCTAGGGTCCTTTCAGCCCACAGTGAAGGCCTGTGGGCCGAGATGCTGAATTATTGTTAGAAGGGTACACTTACACCCAGGTGAGGCAAGGGCTGTGGTGTCCCTGTGACCAGCGAAGGTTGGCTAACATCCTGGTCCTCAGAGGCTCCTGTCAGCCTCTGGAGGTGGGGGTGCAAGTGGGAGACTGCCTCACCAGCTGCCTCCCTCACCAGCACTGTCTTTGGCACCTGGGAGGCACCTTTCTATATTTGGTGAAGCCTTAGGGACCCTGACTTTATCGTTGGACAAGGACTAACCCCAGGCAAAAGGAGCTGGCAGAAGGTTGTAGCTTCTTCCCCATGTCCTGGGACACACACCCTCCTGCACTGGTGACTCAGGGAAGAAATGGAATTATGGAAACAGGATGTGTGCTCAGGTTAGGGAGTAGACAACAAGGGGGGAGGGCTTCCTGGATTCACTAAGCTCCAATGCCCAGGTACCCCTGGCCTGAACATAGGTAGGCAACAAGATCACGGACTGGGCCCAGGGGGCTGCTGCCATCCAGACCTGAGGCTGAGGTGTGGGCTGTGGTCCTGAAAGGAAACGTCCTCTCCCTCTTGCCTCAAGGCCTGCTAGCACCTGTGTCGAAAGGGGCCATCCATAGAAGGCTGGGCTCCAGTTAGGCCAATCCCTCCCAGGAAGGTTCTTCCCCACCCACCCCTTCATTAGGGGCAGGACATCCACAGCCCCGCCTATTGGGGAGGCCCACAAGAGCCTCCTGTGAGATCCAGAATAGTCAACCAGCTCAGCCCAGGCCAGCTACAGCCACCCATGGGAAACAGCCAGTGTGTCCCTCAGGCCCCCAGGAGGCTGCGGGCCTCCTTCTCCAGAAAGCCCTCGCTGAAGGCAAACAGGTGAGAGGCGAGGCCTCAGCCATCAGAAGTCTCCTTAGCCTGCCTCCAGGGCTGCGCCATGAGCCCCTTTCCCTTGTCTCCAGAGAAGACAACACGAGGAAGCTGGCTGGCTTGTTTGGTGTGGAGGCTGGCCCAGAGGGAGACACAGCGGCTGACAGGATCTTCTGCTACATCCCTGGGACGGTGAGCGGAGGGGCGTGTCCCTCTGGAACTGGTGTCTGTGTGTGTGTTAGGGTCTGAGTGGCTCTGGCTCTCATGTTGACTGTGTGGCAGTGTGTGCATCATATCTTCTTGGGCCACCGGGAGAACTCAGATCCAAAGTGAGGAAGTGGACACTGCCCCACCCCAGAACCTTATCCACCGAAAGTCTGGGCGAGAACGAAACTGAGAGGCACTGAGTCAGTTACAAGTAGCTCCACAGGCAGCCGGGCGGGGCCTCCCAGTCTCCTGGCTCACTCCCGGGCCGCCTACCTGCCCCTGCCAGAACCTGGCCGGCTCCAGGCATACCTGGGTCGTAGTCTTCTCATGTGAGAGAATGAGGAGCTTCTGTGAGCAGTAAGCTAGGCTGTTTGTTACCTGCTCTAGGCCTTGGTTTCTCCCTGGAGTACCCTGTGGGCAGCTGCTGTCAGCATCAGACCACACCAACTCTCTACAGTGCCCACCACCATGTCACACATGGCAAGGGAGAAGTCCCACACCCTGTCCACCTCCAGCCCTCACCCTAAGACTGAGGGCAAGCTAGGGGAGAGACCCATCCCTTTCCCCAACATTCCGGCATTGCGCTAGGAGGTCTGACAAGCCGCTTGCCCACTGTAACCCTCTCCTGAGGACCCATACATGCCAGGGTGGTTGGGCTCTGTTGTGTCCCAGGCACCAGGAACTGCTGGGGAAAAGCATAGGTGACTCTGGGCTAAGGGCTCAGGTAGAGTTCTCACCCTGCAGTCCTAAGGCCAGCTGGCATGGGCTTCTAGAGCCCACTGCTCCCACCAGGATGGGATCCTTGTACTATCACTGAGGTACCAGGGCGCCCCACAGGCAAGTGCCAACCTTATAAATCATGCTGCCTCAGAGAAGTGGGTGGAAGAGGGTGGCCGGCCTGACCCAGTTGGATCCCTCCACACAGCCACATCTCAGATCCTACCCAAGGCCCAATTCATGCAGTAGGACCCTTGGGGAGTCCCAGGGAGGCATGGTGGCCCTAGTGGTCCTCTTTCGCTCAGAAATCGGACACAGTAGCTGGAGAGGGGACAAGACCCAGCCTGGGTTGGCAATCAGGAAAAGTACTCTGGCCAGGTGTAGAGCTGTTCTGGGCCCTGCACCTGAGTTCTGTAGTGGATTGTGTAAGGACTGCCCTTGCCACAGTTCCAAACCAGGGTCTCAGGGCTGAGCCTGGGCTCCAGGACTGACTGCATAACCCTTCCTGATTCATGGCCTATTTTTCACAGCTGCCATCCTGGAGTCAGTTCCCACACTGGGTGTACATGCAGGAGGCCCCACCCAGAGGCTGGGAGGACGAGGAGCTGTGTGTCTTCACATTCCTGGGTTTGCCCAAGAGGCAGCTCAAGTTGGCCAGAACACAGCAGCCCATGTAGGTCACATTGCATCCACCAAAGGCAATGTGACCCTACCCAACTCACCCTTGTCCATCCCATCAGCATCCATCTACTGACTCTTAGTCTGATCCCCAACCTCCCATTTACAGAGGATTCTGCACCAGCACAGGATAAAGTGTGTGGATGGTGACTCTATCTCCCTCTTATGAGCAGACATACATTACCCACCATTCCCAGCACATCCTACACCCTGTCCTAGCCTGTGGGGACACAGCAGGAGACAAAATACAGAAACCTTGTTCCCATTCTCTCAGAAGAGACAGTCAAGACAAGTGAGAGAGACAGCAAATGAAACTGTGCTTAAGAGATCTGGGCAAGTTCCTGAGGAGTGGAGTAGAGTGAACGTCACAGGGTCCTAGCAGAAGGAACAACAAGAGCAAAGGTCCCAAGACAAGCTTGTCCCTGACTCAGAGGTGAGAGGGGGGACAAGTGGATGACAGATGTCTTCGAGAACCACCAAGGCATGGCAGGACCTTTGCTTTTGCTGTGAGTGGGATGAAGGCACATGTAGTGGTGGACTAGAACAAGTGGCTATGCCACACGGCTGGTGTGGTCTCAGGGTCTCAGAGTGTCACAGGGTAGTGGCTGGCACAGGTTCGGAGAGCTGGCTAAGCTGGCTTTTCTATACCCAAGTTCACAGACATCCTGTTGGTGGCTCACAGTGATGGGAATACTACCCCCAAGAAACTGGCAAAGGTTAAGAGTCAGGGCCTCTGTTTTTCTAACTCCTGTTTGTTTTGTCTGCTGTAGAACCACATACTGAGCATTATTCCACCCAGGCTCCCCAGGCTTCTCTAGATCTGAGGAAGGTAGGAGCTAAATGAAGACCACACAGCACAGGAAATGAGGAAGCTACGGGTGGTCTCCACTGAGTCTAGGAGCAGGCAGCTCTGACATGGGGGAGCTGCATGTGCCCATGTTGTTTTCATGAAAGAGGCTGTGGGTGTGCTAGGGTCCATGTCTCTGTGTGCTCTTTTTTTTTGGTACCAGGGGTTGAACTCAGGACCCTGTGCTTTCCAGGGAAGCACTTATTCTACTGAGCTATCTCCCTGGTCCCCTCTGTGTTCCTTGATGTGTGTATCTTGTGGCCCTGCATGGAGAGACCAGGCCTGTGTGCTGGCTGTGTGTCTGCTGACTGAGGCTGCTGGCCCTGTTGGTCCCTCCCCTGAGCCCTACTCCTCTAGGATGTCCCAGGCCTTGAAGGCCGGCCAGAAGGCCCAGAGCAGCCATTCCTGAGTGTCTTCAAGAAAGGGCGACGGCGGGTGCCTGTGAAGAACCTGGGCAAGGTTGTGCACTATGCCAAGGTCCAGCTGCAGTTCCAGCACAGCCAGGTGCGGCCAAGGAGCCAGGCCAGATGGGGACAACCTGAGGGGATTGGCTTCCTGCCAGTACAGGCTGCTCCCCAGACTCCCATACTGGCAGCCCCTCTCTCTACAGGATGTCAGTGACTGTTTCCTGGAGCTGTTCCCCTCCCACCTATACTTCCAGGCCCATGGCGCCGAAGGACTCACATTCCAGGTGTGTGTGTTTGGTGGTGGAGTAATCAACAAAAGGAGGGGTAGTCGTGTCCCTGGGACTCCCTCCAGAGCCTTTCCTATCCTGTGCTTTGGCAGGGGCTGTTACCACTGTCAGACCTGAGCATCTGCCCACTTGAGGGGTACAGAGAGCATGCCTTCCAGATCACAGGTGTGTGGCTGGTGCTTCTCTAACCAGGACCCAGGTCTGAGTGTGGCCTCCTTGTTGGTTTCCTTGGACTCACCCCTCACCCTCGTCTGCTCTCTCCTCTGTCCCAGGCCCACTGCCTGCGCCCCTCCTGGTTCTCTGCCCCACTGAAGCTGAGCTCAGCAGCTGGCTCTACCACCTGGAGAAGCAGATGGCCCTAGTGAGGGGACTGCAGCACTGCCACATAACACTCCTACAGGTTGGTGCCAAGAACCTGCAGACCCCTCCACCACCCTGGCCCTCCCTGCCTTCCCTTACCTCCTGTTCCCCAGGGCTCCCCTGGAGATGAGCTCCCCTGGACTCTGCAGCACTGTCTGAGCCGGCTGCCAAGGACATCAGGGCGAGAGACCCTAGGCGGCGCCATCTGTGCCTCAAGGGTCAAGCTGCAGCACCTGCCCTCCCAGGTTGGTGTGAGAAAGTGGGGGTTAGGGCCAGGCCTGGGTACCCCAGCCCACTCTGTCCCCTGACCCTCACAGGAGCAGTGGGACCGGCTCCTGGTTCTGTACTCGGCATCCCTGGCCATCTTCTCTGAGGAGCCAGATGGGCTCAGCTCTCAGGTGGGCCCTCCCCCATCTCAGGTGGCCCTGGGGAGGTAGTCTGTGTGGGGGTGGGGCAGCAGCTCAGGAGGAACCTGTATTTCGGGCCTGTTGTGACAGAGTAACGGCCCCACCCATCCATCCCCACTGCTCTGGTCAGTCTGGTCTCAGCTTTGAAATGAAGGAGCAGTCCTTGCCCCTAGCAAGCGTCTCATTCTAGAGGGTCCTCAGCCACCAAGGAGATCATCATACTGGATGCGTGGTGTGGTTGTAGCCACTCTGGGAGTCCCTCCTGGTTGCCTGTACCCTGTGCCTGTGAGCAGCTCTTCTGTGCCTGAGGGGCATGTGCATGCACATTCATGATCATCTGTGCTCACTGAGCCAAGGGTGTCCCTGATGTGCTGTTATAGCCACTAAAAAGCACATACAGGGGCTTCCCTGCCAGAGGCCAATCTCTGCAAGTGTCCTCCTGCATCTGGCATGATCTTGTGCAGGCCACCCAGAGACCAGGTAAGGCTGTCCCCAGGAGAGACAGGGAACTGACTGACCTCCCCTAGGGTATGTGAGTGCCCAGTACAGCTCCAGAGGGCAAGACGGAGGGACAGAACCAGGCTGGAGCTGGTATTGCCCATGATGGGGTTGTCCTCACTTTTGCACTCACAGGGGGAGCTACCACTCAGTGCCATCCACATCAACCTGGAAGAGGAGGAGAAGCAGATTCGTTCCTTCCTAATTGAAGGTGCTCAGGGCCCTGCCTCCTTACCTGCTAGGCCATGGGAAGAGGGCATGAGCCTAGTGGATGCCCTTGCACTTTACTAGGGCTCTGTGGGTTGCACCCCATTCTGCCAGGCCCCTGTCTCACATTTCACATGTGTGCCAGGCCGCCTCATCAACACCATTCGTGTAGTATGTGCCAGCTATGAAGACTATAGCCATTGGCTGCTTTGCCTTCAGACTGTTTCCCGCAAGGATGGGGTGCCTTTGCTGTCCAACCTTGAAAGCCACCCAGGGCTTCAGGAGCCCACACAGGTAAAAATCTGAGGGCCTCATAGCTCAGGCCCTTGGAACCGAGGCTGGGTCAAGGAGAGGGGTCAGTCTGCCACTCATCTCTGGCTGCCCAGGTTGTGGGTGGTGGCCGAGGTTCACTCTCCTTGGATGGACGGACCAGCTGGGACTCGGGGTGCACAGCACCATCCTCCTCCTGCACCAGCCACTTCTTCCCTGAGTCTTCCATGAGGCCCACTGTGCACTGTCCTGCCTGGCCTATACCTGTGAGTACCTGGAGTGGCAGAGGAGAGTTGTGTGTGCTAGAGCCTAGGTCCCATTGTTCCCTATCCTGAGCCTGGACCTTCGATCCTCAAAGAGGGGTCTCATCCTAGCGGGAACTCTGTATAGCCTTGGAGAAAGGGGAAGGCAGGGAATTCTCTGGAAGTTTCTTGGTCACCACAGGATCAGGCCCACCCTGACTGTGCCAGTGTCGGTCAAAGAAGGACAGAGCTGAGACGTGGTGGCAGCAGTCGGTTATCCAGGAACAAGGCCCAAAGGGAAGCCCCCGGCCCATCAGCACCGCTGCACCTGCGCCTGGATCTGACCCAGGTAGGCTCTCGTCAGGCTCTCTCCATTTCCTGTACCTCTTTGACTCTGTCTCTTAATCTAGGCCAGCAGTGGTGAATCTATGCACACATACCACAGCGGGCCATCTGTATTATTGCAAGTTCTAAAAAGGTTCACCGTCACTAGTTTAGGTGGTCCTGAAGCCCCCACAGGCCTCTACTTAGGGAACAGGAGACTCCAGCTTCTTCTGCCTTGAGAAACCTGTCTCTTCTCTTCCCTGCAGTTGGATAGGCTAAGGCTGGAAGGTAGACCAGAAGCCCCAGAGCACTCTCTGGAGACTCCACACTCCCCGCTCTATGCCGACCCTTACACGCCACCTGCTGCCTCCCACCCAAAGATCACAGATGTCCAGGGCTTGGATGAGGTCAGTCCTTTGCTGGGCCATAGGACTGTGTGTGCCAAAGGCCTGGAGCCTCTTCAGACTGATTAGAGACCAAGGGGTTTCTTGGCCAGGGCCCGAGCTCTACACTGGGCCTGGTCCAGGGCCTCATGTTACCCAACCTTCCTGACAGTTCCTTAGTGCAATGCAGAGCTCACCTGGACCCGAGCCTTCAAGCCCCCTCCCCTCAGCCACTACGTCTGAGCCTGTGTCTGGCCCCACCTCCAGACTCTCCAGTCCCTCTGGCCCTCCAGATCCCCATTTGCTTTCCAAGAAGGGAGCCTTACAGTCGCGAGCTTCTCAGAGGCACCGAGGCTCCATCAAGGGCCAGAGGCCACGGCCCTCAGACTCCCCTCAAATTGTGAGTTTCAACCCCCAAACTGCAATCAAGAGGCTCCAGTTTCTGGGAGCAAGGGGTGCAGCATGAGTGTAGGTTTCCTAGGAGTCTGAAGGAGCGGGAGAGAAACGAGAGTACAGGGGACAGGCAGAGACCAGGGACAGGAACAGAGGTCTGCAAGACAGAGCTAGGGCAGCAGGAGAGAATGCAGACCCAGGGCCGGAGAGATAGCTCAGTAGAGTAAACATTTGCCTGGCAAGCACAAGGGCCTGAGTTCAATCCTTGGTTCCAAACAAAAAAGACATTTAGGAGAATGCAGACCCAGGGGCAAAGCAGACTGACAGATTTGATTCGCTGTTCACCCCAGTTGTGACTTGTGGTTTGTATTTCCCAGGTCTCCCCTACCAAGGAAGGTTCATCCAACCCTCTGCCTCCTCTCTCAGGTGAGTGAGGGTCCTGCCTGCTTCTAGGATAAGCAACAGGGAGTTGCTTCCTGCAGGCCAACACCTCTCTGCACTCCCCCTCCACCCTCCCCCCAGATGGCGAGTCCTCCATCTGGAACAAGACTTCATCTTCCTCCAACCAGAAGTGGCCCCAGCTCAGAAGGCCTGAGCCAGAGGCGGGGTTCATCCAGTGGATCTGATGGCTCCCTGGCAGGGCTGTCTCTCAGAACCATAACCTGCCAGTGCCAGCCCTGCCAGGGGATCTGCAGTGGTCCCAGCACCTGGTTGCCCCACATCAGCTCCATAGTCAGGGTCTACCCCCAGCAGGCCAATTGTACCTCCAGAACCCTGAGGGCAGAGTCACCCCACTCTGGTCTGGAATAGCCAGGAGAAGATACCTCATCCCTAGGGACACGCTGGTCAGTATGGCTGACCACAGCTCAGGGAAGGACAGCAGAGAGGTCCTGGAAAGTCACAGGAATGTCCCTACAGCTCTGAATCCAAGAAGAAATGGATGAGAGGCCCTGATAAGAGAGAGATGCCTGGAGTGGGGATAGTATGGGTGTGAAGGGCAGAGGGCTGAGACAGCCTGATAGGGTCAGAGTATGTGAGGTCAGAAGGCACAAGGGTCGGGGGTCAGCAAGGTATAAGCTGTCACATGCAGAGGTATGAGTACGTAGCAAGGATGGTGGGAGAGTCCTGCGTTGCTGGATGTGCAGGGAAGGACTGGTCAGAGACACGACACTGATGCCATAAACAAGAAAGGAGAGATTTTATTGATTCTGTGTGTCTGTGTTCTCTGTTGAGCAGCTAGGGATTCCTACTGTCCTGGGGATCCTGTGTGCTGCCTGCTGCGTCCACTTACTGCTCTTTCTGCTTGGGTCCTTCACCCACCTCTTCATCCGTCTCTGACTCCTGGGACCATACCAAGAGCTCAGTCCTTCCACCTGAGCCCATTTTCTGTCTATACCCTTGACTAGGGCTTCTCAGAGGAACCAGACCCTGCCCACTGCCCTACCCTGTAGGGACTGCAGGAGCTGCCTCAGAGGTATCTTCTAGGTATTTGCTTATTGACTCCAGCTGACACCCTAACCCCTTGGCTATAAACCTCAAGGCTTGGAGTTCAGAGGGCCCTGTAAGGCTCTTTCCAAGCTAGGCTGTTGTGCAAAAGGCGCAATCCCTGGAAAACCCCTCCTGCCACCTTTGATGCAACCTTTCCCCATCCCAGCCCTACCAGATCACATGGGACTTGCTGCTCTCTAACACTCCTAATTCCAGGGTCCTTTCCTGCAGTACACCCCATTTACCTCCATGACCAGATGAAACAGAGGATACCTAGTTAGAGTTCAGATAAACAACACGGAATTTTTTTAACAAGAAATTTCTTAGTACAAGAATGTCTCACATCGTACATGTCTAAAATCCAAATTTCACTGGGTGCCCTACGTTTTATTTGCTAACCTGCTACCCTATTAACTAGCTCCCTGCTCAGCCCCTACCCACACAGAATTACAAATCTCCTTTCCCCTCAGGTATGGGTAGTGGCCTTGACCGTGGCCCCTGGATGGACCCTCACATGGAGTCCAAGGGAGCCAGCACCAAGGACACTGGCTCCCTCCTGCATGCTGTAGAAGTCTGGGGTCCTAGGTCGAGGAAAGCAGCAGCTCATCCTGAATGTCTCTATTCATCTTCTTATCTTGAGTCTTCCTAGACCAGGCCTGGTCCTAGGAGCTGGAGCTGGGGCTACGGCTGGGGCTGGAGCTGGGGCTGCGCCCTCGCCTCGCCTGCCGGCGGAAGTAGCGGATGGCAGAGATGGTGCCAATGTTAGCCAGTAAGACTGCAAAGGAAGCACAAGTTCTCCTGGGTGCCATCTCCAGCTAGTCACCAGCTCTGGTTCACATGACTGACCTAGTCCTCAAAGGCAAGATGAGCCAGCAGGCAAGGGCAGTGGGCTGGAGGTAGGCCAACAATGAGAGGAGTAGAGTTTGGAAGAAACCCATGCTTCCCCACGTACCCCACCCCTATTGGCCCTGCAGGTGAGGCTAGGTACTGTGGCCCTTGATCTGACTTTTAGGCACCAGTTACCTCTGTCCCCATGCCCCTCAAACCTGTTTTCCAAGCATCCGGGGTTTGCAGATCTGAGGTTCTTACAGCCCATGTAGCAAGGGCTACAAACACCAAGCACATGTCATTCTGACTGAAGGTAAATGAGGTGAGGGGATGCCGGAGCTCTCCTAGGGAAAAGAAGTTCACCTTTAACTCAGCTGTTCACTGTGAAACACATTTGTCCTGAGACATGCCTGCCTGACATATTGTCCTAAACACATTTGCCCTGGAACACATCTGCCTTGGGACACATCTGTCCTGAGCATGTATTCTAGGACATAGCTGCCTTAAACGCACCTGCCTAGAAATGCCTGCCTGGGCACATCTGCCCTGGATGTCTGTCCTGTGACATAGCTGAGTCACATCTTCCTTGTGATGTCTCCCCAGAGGCCCTTGGTGGTATGTGTCAGACTTGAATCAGGATGGTTTGGGGTGCTGCCATTTCCTGGTTTGCACCAGAGCTCCCAGAGGGGAAATCAGGTATCTGCTCAGTGTCTGGGCCTGGCTTGGGCTACTACTACATGTGAGCTGTACCCTGAGAAAACTGGAGCTCGCCTTTCCCTCCCAGTAGGTATCTGAGGGCCCCCCCTGGCGGGGTACCTAGGACCTCTGCACTCCCCACACCCTTCCTGACCTAGTTCCCTGGACAGTGTTCTCAGAGCCTGGGTCGGCCATGAACGTGGGTGCACATACCTGCCTGCCTGACTGCCAGGCTCAGTTCCTCTGCTACAGCTGGGCCAGGCTCAGGAGGGGTCCTTGTCCCCATGTTCCTGGGGGGCTTTGAGTTCTGTAGCTGGAGAAGGGCAGTGGGAGGCAGCAGGCCCCCAAACCTGTCCTCCCCAAGAAAGTGTTCATAGGCCTCAGGGATGGAGAAGGGCACTGGATCTCCAGGGGGCACAGCTGGTACAGGGTCAGCTCCTGGGGGTGAGGCCAGTGAGCAGTTCCCCTGGTGCCCCAACCTCTGGGTGTGGCAGTCCCGGAAGAAGAATTCACAGATGTCTGGCCACTGGACATTCCCCGTGGCCTGGCTGGCTATTGCCTCCTGCTCGGCACCCTCCTCCTTGCCCCTTTGCTCCCCCTCCTCCTCCTCCTCCTCTTCAATGGTATCACAGAAAAAGAACTCATAGGCCTCGGGGAGGGTCACCTCAAAGCAGCTCCCAGATCTAGACCCTGCAGAAGCAGAGGGAGCAGGGGGCGGCAAGTGCTTCAAGATTCGAGGCTGAGGGTGTCGGGGCCCAACCACCACTGCATCCCAGGCTGCAGACCCCTCACGGCCCCCCACTGCTGTTCCAGTGTCTGAGGCTAATGAGGGTGGGCCTGTAGCCTCTCTTAATCCTGGTTGCTTAGATCTGGGCACAGCCATGGAGAATCGGACTTTCTTCTTCTTGGGGGTTGGGATGGGGCCTGGGGAAGGCACCCCTGAAGCAAGTCCAGGAGCTCCTCCAGGTTTCTCTTGAGGCCTGGTTGGAGGCACGGCCATCTGTGTCTGTATCATACCAGCCCCAGTTTGGAGAACAGGGGCCCAGGACGGCACAGCAGCCTCAGCTCCAGGAACAGGTGTAGATGTCACCCCATCAGACTCAGTCTTGGAAGCAGAGTGGGGCAGAGCCTTGCTTGTCACATCCATGGAGACAGGCAGAGGTGAATCCATCTTTGGCTTGACCACTGACCCTGTAGTAGGTAGGTCCACGTGCAGTGTAGATGTGGAGGTGGGTGTAGACAGGGCCACACAGGGTTGAGGCTTATAGACGGGTATGGACACAGACATATCAGGCTGTGGCTTGGAGATGGGCGTAGACAAGGCTTCATCTGGCTTGGCCATGGAAGCATCTGAATGAGCTCCCTGGACATGTGCAGAAGCTCTGTGTAGCTCAGCTCTGGGGGTCATTCTGAACTGATCTGCACCTGGCTCAGTTACAGGAAGAGGTGTAGAGAAAGCTTGGGCAGAGTCTGGCTGAGACTTGTTCTGCTGGGCTCCTACCATTGTCTTTGCTGTGCCAGCCCCAAGCCCCTCCCCTCTGGACCCATCCAGGCCATGGCCTTCCTCAGGCCTGGCCTCAAGGAGTTTGGGAGAGCCTGGTGGAACCAGAGCAGGCCCTGAGGCCTCCAAGTGTCCGCCCCCCTTGGTCCCCATACTACGCCTCTTCTTGCGGCCAGGGCTCCGCAGAGGGGTTCCAGGATTGTCCGGGGGCTTTTGAGAGATGACACTGTGGCCAGGGCATTCAGAACTCTGGGGGTGCTCACCAGGGGGGCTGGGAGAAGGGCCCTGCAGAAGCCTCTGCATCGTGTCACTGGAATCTACTGACTCTGGAAATGAGCAGCGCTGATCAAGAGGGGCTGGGCTTGAGTTGAGGGAAGGCAGAGCTTCAGATGGTGTGGACGTGCCAGCTGCCTGCTTACTGGCCCCCAGAGCCAGGACAGGCTCACACTGAGACCTACTGACCCGCTGCCAGGTGGCCACACTGTTCTCTTCACAAGCCTGCCAGCTGTTTCCCCCAGGAGCCAGCTGCACAGTGAGAAGGGGTGGGCGCCCAGGTGGGCTGCTGCCACTGCTGTCCCCTTGGTCAATGTCACTGGAAAAGAGCTCGTCCCCAGAAGCCAGGCCAGCCTGCAAGAGGCCACACTCATCAGCAGTTGCCGAGAACTCAGCCCAGTCTTGGTCACTGAGCTGGACGCTGTACTGGAAGTTGTCCATCACAGGTCAGCAGAGGTGCTGGAATAGTGACAGGACTTGGTGCCAGACGGGATCTTCAAGTGTCCAGGATCCAGGCACCAACCTGCACACAATGCCGCAAGCCTGCACACATGGGGGACACCCCACCCCCGGCTATTCATCTCCACCCTGGAAGAAAGCAGAGCAGAATCCCAGAGGACAGGCTGTGCTTCTTTCAAGTTTAAGTCCTTCTGAGTTAGAAAATCCCAATTCCCACTTTTCCTATTTCCAAATGTCAACTTTACAATATACATTGTTACAGTCTTAAAGCCAAATTGCACTTTATATTAGTGAAGTACACATCTTCGCATGACGTTTGTCATGCTTTTTCATTCCTAGGAATGTCATTCCTTCACATCTCTGAGATTTCCTGTCAGGTGGGTCAAGCTCCCTTTCTCCACTTCCCTCTGAGTGGTCTGTATCAAGGACAACCCTCCAGAGGCCAGTTCCTCAGGTGATGGTCAGCCATCTGTCCTGGGGTGCCCTAGGAGACAGCTGGCTACAGTGGCCAGCTAGTGGCCAGCCTTCAGGGTGATGACCTTCCACTAGCCTTGGCTGGGATAGTTCTCTGAGCTTACCAAGGTCACACTGGAGCTGACTGGAATCAGCTCAGGGTTCAGAAGGCAGGTCTTGGGCCTAAGGTTGTGGAGCAGAGATCAGCCCCTGAACCCCAGCAACCCCCTCAGGCTATCCCTAAGTTCTTCATCCCCACCACAGTGCTGTCTGGCTGCCCAAGGCCCATTCTGCCCCAGCTCACGGAACCCATGTGAACTAAGCTGGAGAGGGTTTCCAGCTTTTTCCCATGGAGGCTATTCATCCACCTCAGTCAGCTACTGCTAGACCTACAGGGTGGGAGGTCACTCTAGCTTGGACAGTCCTGAGCTGGAGATGTCCACAGGCCAGAGCACCATGGCTTCCTATCCCCTGACCCACACACTCCTCTCTGCCTCGGAGAGGCCTGTGTGGTGGCCTGCTAGCCACTGGGACCCTAGGCCAAAAAGAAGCTGTCCATGTCCTACCTGAGTCTCGGCAGCCAGCAGGGCAGTGGAGCAGGGCATCTGAGTGCCTGCCCCAGAGCGGCATGCTGCTGGGCTGGCCCTGGAAGCTCCACCCCCACTGCCAAAAATACCCAGTCCCTCTGCTCACATGTGACCCACGCCAGTGTCAGGACCCAGGCTGCAAATAGATGGCATTTGAGGGGCCTCCAGCTACTCGAGGGACTCCTTCCTAGGGCAAGGCCCAGCCCAGGCTGGTACCAGCCAAGGTCACACCAAATTCCACCTAGAGAATAGTGACTAGTGGTCAGCTCTGCATGGGCCTCACTTTCCTCAGCAGAGGGAAAGCTCTGCTCAGCTACCCTCCCAGCAGGCCTTTCCTCCCTGGTCTGAGCTCCAGGGGCAACAGAGCCTCCCCAAGTACTGCTGACCCTGTCAGTGGTGTCTGGCACGGGGGGGGGGTACTCACTGCTATTGGTGAAAGAGTCCTGGGCCAGGGAGATAGCTCAGTAGAATAAGTGCCTGCCTGGCAACCACAGAGTCCTGAGTTCAATCCCAAGTACCAGAAAAAAAAAAAAAAAAAAAAAAAGAATCCCCAAATGGGTATGGACACCAGCCTGGAAGGTAGGTGAGGAGGGCCTGGAGGAACTGAGCAGGCTCGCTCTTGTTCTCCAGCCTGCAGAAGAGAAAGCTGGGAAGTACAGCCTCTGTGGTGGACTTCCTGCACTGTTTCTACGAACTCATCCACTTCAGTGGAGGCCAGGTCAACCCTTCTTTTGGGGGAGGACTGCTGAACCCACAGCCTCCTCATAAACTGTCTCCACACCTATTTTACTTCTTGTTTGGGTTAGGGTCTCATTAAATTGCTGACCTTCAACTTTTTGATCCTCCTGCCTCAGCCTCCTTGTAGAAGAAGAAGCCCCAGTGTAATATGTCATCATCTGTGAAGATGTTTCTTCAGCATTTCTGCCACCATTCTAACCCGTGTTAGCTTTCCTGTTGCTGAGACCAAATACCTGAGACTCGCAATTCAAAGGAAGAAATGGTTTGTTTGACTCCTAGTCTCAGAGGATTCAGTCTCTGGTCAGCCAGCTGCAGGGTAGAAACAGCACAGTAGAGGAACATGGTGGAAGAAAACAATGGCTGTGTGGCAGCTGGGAAGTCAAGCAGAAGCCGGAGCCTGGGAGAAAGGACCCAAGGACCAGAGGCAGACCCCAAGGTCCCCCGTCTTCGCCCTCCCAGACACCCAAGTTGATAGGCTTAACCACCACAAATGTTTAACTTGTTATAAATTCTGCTTCTTCCTTCTGTGCGCACATGCGTGCTTCTGTGTGTGTGTGCGAGCTACACAGCCCCAGCTAACGCCTTTAGATGAGCAGAGGTTTTAAATTTAACTTGGCTAGCTTACCATCAATTTCTTTTTTTAATCATCAATTTCTTTTATGCTTAACACTTTTTCCTGATCTTTTAAAAAACTCTTTGCCTGCCACCAATCCATGAAGAAATCTTGCTCTGTGTGTGTATGTGCACGTGTGCGCACGCGTGTGGCTTCAGTTTGAATCAATAACACACTGGTTCAATTCCCACCAACCTACATCCCCAGCCTTTAACTTTTGTTTGTTTGTTTAGCAAAAGTCTTAAAAAGTATTTTACAGGGTCTTGCTAAATTTCCTGGGCTGGTCTCTAATTTGTGTTTCTCTGGCCTCCAAGGAGCCGAGATTACTGAGATTACAGGCATATGCCACCATACCTGGGAAGATTTTGTTTTGTTTTGTTTGCTTTAATTTTTTAATCTTTTATTTGTTTATTTATTTGGATCCTCCTGTCTCAGCCTCCCCAGCACTGGGATTACAGGTGTGCACTACCACATCCAGTTTCGGTGTGTGGTCCGGCACAATATGCAGTACCAGGGATCAAACTCAGGTCCTTGTGCTTGCCAGGAGGTGCTTAGACAGCTGAGCCATCTCCTCAGTCCCATTTTTTTTTTTTTTTTTTTTTAGTCAGGTCTCCCTGTGTAGTATAGGCTAGTGTTGAACTCACTATGTAGCCCAGGCTGATCTTGAGCTTGAGCCAGTCCTTCTGCCTCAGCCTCCCATGGTGGTGCACACCTGTAATTTGAGCACTCAGAAGGCTGAGGCAGGAGGATCAATGAGAGTTCAGGGCCAGCCTGGGCTACATAGTGAATTCAGACCAGCCTAAACTACCTTAGGAAGACCCTGTGTCCAAAAAAAAAAAAAAAA